TGTAAAATAAGTGATAAAATGCTTTCCAATCACAACACCATTAATACACTCAACACTTATCACTATTTACACTGCTTTTGGCCTAAATGTCACTTCAAGACTAAATTTAAATCGCGTTTAATCACACATCAAACAGTTCATTTAAAAGCAACACAATTTAAATGCGATTTTACTAATTGTAATAAAGTTGATCCTTTTAAACATAACCTACAGCATCACATAAATATTGTTCATTCAAACGTGAGATATGTATGCGATTGGAGTGAATGTCACAAACAGTTTACACATAGAAGTCATTTACTTCGACACAAAAGTAGTGTTCATTTGAATGAAAGGAAACTCAAATGCAATGAAGAAAATTGTGGCAAAATATTTGCTGAGAAATCAAATTGAAATCTACACAAAAGCGTTCACCGAAATGGTTCCCCAATTGTATGCGAATGGGTTGACTGTAAGACATTTACGAGAAAAATAAATTATTTGACGCATAAAAGTATTTTCCATATAAATGGGAAAAGATTTATATGTGATGTCGAAGATTGTAGCAAAAGATTTTCGCGATTATCGTTTCTCAATGAACACAAACACCGCATACATACGGCTTAAAAACTGTTAGTTTGTCATTACAATGGTAGTGACAAAGGTTATGTAAGTCAATCACAGTTAAAAGTACACATAAGAAGTGATATGAATAAAAGAATATAGAAATACAATTATAGTCATTGTGCTAAAACTTTACAAATATTTACCAAAAATAAAAAACTCAATCATTCAGTATATGACACAACCTTATATTAAATTCTTAATAATAAATGCAAACAATTGTTTTGAACTAATTAAAAGAATTGATCGATAGATCCAGATTTGGGTGTTTAGCCATTGTATGCTGAATCCAAGCGGCAGTAGTTTTGAACACTCGGTTACAGATATGACACTTATTGTGAACCACTTTCACATGCATTTCCAAACCCTTTTGATTGGCGCACTCTTTCCCACACTTCTCACTCTTGATTCGTACACTTTTCCTATCATTACTACTCGTATAGACAGCAACCTTATGGCTGTTAAGGGATTTCATATTTTTGAAATGTTTGTGACATTTATCGCATTTGACTTTCATTTGCTTGGCTTTAGTACGAAGGACTGGTGTAAAGTTATCGAAACTGCCGCCATAATGGACAGTCATCTTATGGCTATAGAGTTGATGCCCTGAGTTGAACACTAGTCCGCAATCGCATCGGAAACTCATGCCCTGAATCAGTGGCGGAGTCCATACCACGGGATGCGTCGACTGATTGTGTAGAAAAAGCATTGATTTTTTGTCAAACCCTTGTCCGCAACCCTCGTGTTCGCATACAAACGGGGCGACTGATGAGTGGACAGTCATATCGTGGGTTTTGAGCTCCGAAGTGGTCTCAAACAGTTGAGAACAGTCGTCCCGTTTGCACCGGTATTGCAGTTTATGGACAATACGCTTATGCTTTCGTAGAGTTAATTGGTTTATAAATTTTGTGCCGCAATCTTGATAATCGCGAACGTAAGCCATGTCTTGACGGACAGCCGTTTTTTGGTCACTAAATTGGTTAAAGTTTGGAAACATATTGTCAAATAATAATCACATAAATAACTATAACTTTAAACACATACTTATGACTAGTTTCTGGTTTTGGTGTCCGATTGGGTTTTAATGGTATTCTGTATTTCCGAAGACATTTGTTGGCCAATGAGGCGGTGTTACCAGTGCTTCATATAGTGGGCTCTTGAGGGACAGTTGTCAACGAACTGCTATTCATTGTCAGTATTTCACGCTTAAGTTGACTCTCATTAATAGATTGACTATTTCATTGAAAAATACTTTTAATCATAAAATAATGATTATAATTAATGTGTCAATACTTATGACTAGTGTTGGACATGGGTTTGGTATCAGTATTGACAGTGTTTGGCACGTGAGAGCTATCACCCGGTGCTGAAACGGTTGTGACTGAAGCGGTGCACCTATTGTTTAGACCGGGATCCCGTGGTTGTAACGGTGTCTCACTTTTTATATCATTTGATTCACTATTTGGTAAAATAAAACATTCAATCACTAAATGAACTGAAAATTAAAATCATGGAAATATACTTATGGTTTGGTTTAGACAGTGAATAGTGAGGTATGTCTGGAATGAGTGGCTCTGAATCATCAATGAGTTGCCCGTCCTCTAACTCTGAACTGTCATCACCTGATGTTATCCCTGGACTGTCCTCTTGTGGACAGAGCGCCTGTACTTCAGTTATGACTTCAATATCAGAATCCGAATCACCGTTTAATGGACAATCATTTCCTTCACTAATAGCCATAACTTTTTTATCTCTATTTTTGAAAATCAAATCATAGTTTCAATCAATAAATGGATAAAAAGAGGGATTTAAATGATGGTCTCGTAAGACATACTTAAAGCACGTGTTGTCTGAAGAGGTAATAGTTGTGTCAGTGCTTCAAATGATGGGCTCTTGAGAGCAACTCATTGACTGTTTCCCTATTATAAGGTTTTATAGTTTCTGTGGCAATGAATGAGGTGTTGAGCGCCGGTATGTCTTCATTGTATGACTGTTTTCCGCGTTTACTTAGTGGTGGACATCCAATGACAGGCCGTTCCCTAACACCTGGTGCTCGTAATGATCTATCCAGTTGTGGACTAGCAGTGGACACATCGGGCACCGGGAGGTCTACTCCTATGGCATGTCTTCTCTGTTTATGTGAATCCAATCGTTGTTGAGATGAAAATCTTTTGTCGCATTCATTGTAATCACATTTGAATGCATTGTTTGTGACAAACGACTCGACAATCGCTTCATAAGTGAGTGAGTATTCAAAATACTAGTTTTATAATTATTATAAATATTGATTATTAATAGTTATATAGTTATCAAATCTACTGTATGTTAAAATGATATAGTGTTATAATTACCTACTCATCCATACAAATACAAATATTTGCATAATTTACTTTTAATAAACATATTTTTATATTACCTGACTCCGGTCATTTAATTCTTAGGTTGTCGGTGGTCAAAATATATAAAAATACTTTTTATAATAATTTAAAAATTAAAACCTTATTAGTTTCATTTGCAGATTAAACATTGAAAATATGTTCATAGAGTCAATATTAAATTAAATATGTAATTTTAAAAGCATATAATTACAAATTTATGTTATCTATAGTAATTAGAAGTTAATCTAATAATTAATTACAACTCCAATACTCGTATGTGCTTGAAAAGTGTTTTAATTAAAATTTAATATTATATAAATGTTGAAAACAATAAAAATTATTAATGTATAAAATTATGCTGATATTTTATTTCAATTTATTTTTTTCGGAATAATAACATATATTTCTAGTTTATAACCTATTTATCAGGTAAGTAATCAGGTAGGTTATCAGGGTCTATAAATACAAATTAATTCATCAAATTAAAAAAAGGTTGCTATTATTTATTGAATGCTCATTAACTTCATAAAGACATGTAAAAATACTTATCAATCCATCTACTATTTACTAAAACCTAGATCATACTGCTAAGTATTTCTACAATAAGCATCTTAATTAATAATAAAATTAAAACAATTAAAATTCATCTTTGTCGTGTTTGTAATCCCTATATAATTGATAGTCCAAGTCATCGTCCAACCAATTGGTCCAGGTGTTATTATGAAACCGAGGATGTGCTCGCTTATCCAATGGCACTAAAACAATTAAAATTCATCTTTGTCGTGTTTGTAATCCCTATATAATTGATAGTCCAAGTCATCGTCCAACCAATTGGTCCAGGTGTTATTATGAAACCGAGGATGTGCTCGCTTATCCAATGGCACGAGTGATAGGGCGGGAACTGAGGTCTCGTTAAACTCAACCAATTTGTGCCAAACGTATCGCACGAATGAGGGATCGGTTTCATTGATTATGTTTTTGTATTCGCACGGATCGACCCGAAGGTTAAATAAACACAACTCACCCGTCAAACACTCATGTTTACCATTAGGAACGGGAGGTTCAGAGCACCGCACCGTCAACTGCTCCAATACATCATAATTTGGATGTCTATTCATTTGAGACAATACCTTGATGAAAACATAATTAATAAAGTTTGGTTTAATAAACGGTAGAAGTAGAAAAGATATGAATATTTAAACCATTTTCAAAAGCATTACCTTGTACATTTTGCAACTATGTCTGTGCAAGTTTCGCATTGTTTCAAACTGTTCACGTGAAAGCGTGCGATTGCTATACATGGGTGGCGCCCAACTGCCAAACCGTATCGACTGAGTCCATACATCCCATCCCTTATAACTGGAGCTCTGGACGAGTTTCCAGTCGTGCCATCGAATGGCAGACATATTATCTACCGGATCGATGTTATGGATGATCTCAGATCGCACCGGTAGTCCATTATGAGACATTGTATCCCATTGTGACACGCCTTCAATTAACACGAATTATAAATACAGAAAAAACATGAATTTAATATTCATTTATCAAATCCTTACCGTAAATATGAGTTTCGTCTGAAAGTAGGTGTCTGTCGCCGATTGCGTCTAAAATGGTTGGCGTTATGTCCGACACATCGATGAGGGCCTCCGAGACGTAACCACTTTTGCGAAGTAATGGACTCCATATGAATGCCTAGTTTCGTCTGAAAGCACGTGTCTGTCGCCGATTGCGTCTAAAATGGTTGGCGTTATGTCCGACACATCGATGAGGGCCTCCGAGACGTAACCACTTTTGCGAAGTAATGGACTCCATATGAATGCCGGCACTCTTAGGGCTAATATCAATTTATATGATTTTATTATTTATTCATTAAAAGTAAAAACTAAAAGATAAAAAAAGTTGCTAATTGACCTCCCTCAAATAATTCCGTTTTATTGCCTCTGAACGGCCAATTAGAGCCTCCATTACCTAAAATAATTATTGATAAAAAATTGCTAATTACTATCTCCCTATACTGTAAATATAACCCTGTAGCTAATATACCATCAGGGTGAGCTCGCAATAGCGAGCGTTTATGTTATTATGATAACAGCTCGTAAGGGAAGCTCACGTTGGATAGCTGATAGTCAGGGTGGCTGAGCAGGTGTGATATCCGGTAACGGCGGTTAGCTGCGGAAAATAGCCTCGCGATGTACGCAAACATATCGATATAGTTTTGTGGGGCAACCGTGTGTTTGGCACGGGCTGCGTGCAGGGCCTGGTAGGGCATGTATAGAAACAGGGGTTGGTGTGTGCTGTTATGACCATCTGTATTATAAGTTTAAGTATAGTCTCACGATTATAATTGTAATTTAAATAAAGTATATGTAATACAATAATTATAACAAGTATAACATTAACAGCACATACCTATTATATGGAGGCACCGGTCGGTGAAATAATGCGTGGAATAAACGCCGGTTCCGTCGGTCGTGAACGTCATGTTATGCCGAGAGTCGAGTCCACACTCGTCGGGCCACGTGTCACACGCCGTGTGATTGAAATACTGCTTATTATAGCCCTAGAAGCCCACGTGTGAGTCGAAGCCCCGGTAGGTGGGAGTAAACTCCCGGCGCGCGTAACCTAAATGCCATTTGCCTTAAAGATATAAGACAATAAATTAATGTTAATCCGCATAATTAACCAGGTCATATTTGAGTATATGAGTATTTGAGTAACACTGCTTACCGACTATATGTGTGGCGTAATTGTGTTGTTTGAGATACTGTGGCAATAGTTTGTAGTGTAGGGGCAGACCAGTGGGGACTGGTTGATGATTACAAAGTTTTGTAGTCCCGTATGTATGGGGTGTACGCCCGTCAGTAGGGCCGCCCGACTCGGACACGACACCGGATGCGTGTAATAGTGGTTCAACACTATGCCATCGGCCGCCAGTGTGTCGATGTTAGGGGTGAGCACGT